TCAACAGCAGTCACACTGGGCAAAGGCAGAGTGGTGTGGAAGGGCACAGCAGCCTCCGGGATCACAAGGATCTATCTGGATCAAAGGCAGCTGGGTGGGAGAGGGGTCTAGGAGGACAGGCTGTTCACACAGGTCCCTGCCTGCCATGTGTGGCCCCAGGTGCCAGGCAGCCGTCAGTGTGGGGCAAGGGAGTGGCAGCACCCTACATGTCTGCCTTAGAAAGGGCTTCTGGTCACAGAGTGGTGGGGGCATTGCAGAGAGAGGCCAATGGCAGAAAGGAGACCAAGAAGAATCTAATGCCATCGTCCAGGTGAGAAATAATGAGGCCAGGGAAAGGTAATCACCCAAGAACCACTGAGTGACGGTCCCTGCAGACGAATTTCACTCGCTGAGGAGCCCAGGCCTCACTAAGCTGCTGGGGGCCTCCCCCTCTAGCCCAGTGCTGACAACAGAACCCCCTGCGAGGGTGGCAATGTCCTCCACCTGCGCTAATTAGTACGACCGTAGTTGCTAGCAACAAGTTACTCTTGAGAACTTGAAATCTGGCTAGTGCAACTGAGGGGTGAAATTCTGATTCTAATTAATTTTAACTAACTTAAATGTAATATCCACATGTGACTTAGCGCCACTGTACTGCAGCGCAGGCAGACACTCCTGTCACTGTAGAAAGTCCACTGGGCAAGCCAGCTCTGAACAGGGCTGAAACAGAACCTAGATGGCCCCGCCTGCAGGCGCAGAGCCACGGTGCTATCCTGTGCACCCCCGAAGCTCCCACACCCACATCCACACAGTGAGACACCACCCACCCAGACAGCGCTGCACCAACTCAGGGAACGTGAGGCTTGATCTCCAAATACCCTCGCATCAGGCTCCAGGTATCACTGCAGCTGGTCACCACTACCCTGATTCCAAACCCCGGTCCCACTAGGCCAGGTGACCAGAGGGCAAGGCACCCTGCCCAGCCACACATATGTCCTGCGTCCCAGCTTCAATCACCACCCCCCAAACACACACACCCCACTCTGGCTGCCTGGATGCCAGGGCCACACCCACCCACACCAGGACAGGGGCTATAACCTCACCAGCCCATCCCAAACTGTGGGACTGGGGACTGCAGGAGGGTCTGCCAATGTAGGGTTCTCCCCCGCTGCCCTCCTCCTCAGACGCTCAGTTTGACCGTTAGGACTCCCGAAGCCTCAACAACCGCCCAGTCCTCATTACAAAGGGCTGAGTCTGGGAACAGGACAGGCCCTGCCAGCTGCCCAGGGTGGGGGAGGGGTGCCCAGCAGGGAGCCTGGGGGAGGGGCAGGCAAGAGACCTGCTCCCTTTAGTCTCTGCCAGGGTCTTAACCTCCTCAACTCAGTTCCCAGGTGACACTGGCCTTTTCATGACATAACACCAGCCCCCCGCAGAATTTTCTAGATTCTTAGAGGGAAAACCTATTTCTTTAATCTCCACCTTCAGTGGAATCAGTGCGCCCCCATCTGGCATCTCCAGCTTGGATCCTGACCCACTTGATTTCACTCATTCTTTCAGGCCACGTATATTTATTTGACTAGGTGGTCCAGGCCTCCCACCTGCACTAAGGATTCTGAAGTGTCCAGTCCCTGTCCTCACGGAGGTCACAGTCTAGTTAAGGGAGACAGAACTAATAAATGCTAATTACAATGCTGGGTAAAATCCAACCAACTCCCACCTCCCCTGGTCTAGGACAGAATAACCAAGGAAGGCGTCAGGGAAGAAGTGACATCTGAGCTGAACAGGTTGCAGGGGTGACCTGCAAAGTGGGAGAGTCGGTCTGGGGAGGAGCACGACATGGTCAAGGCGTGGAGAGGAGTGGGTGGGCAGCAAGCATTCAGCAGGCTGTTGGTGAGGGAGTCGGGCTGGTGGGGACACAGGATCAAAAACAAGCTGGGAGGGCTGGGGATGTGGCTCAAGCGGTAGCGCGCTGGCCTGGCATGCGTGCGGCCCGGGTTCGATCCTCAGCACCACATACAAACAAAGATGTTGTGTCCGCCGATAACTAAAAAATAAATATTAGAAAATTCTCAAAAAAAAAAAAAAAAACAAGCTGGGGCTGGACAGGCAGGCCAGGAGCTAGAGCAAGCCACAGAGCTACAGAAGAAGGACTTAACCCTAAAGGCAAGGGGAGCCTTCTGAGGGTTTAAAACATGCCTTTGAGGAAGAACCCAGGCACCGTGAAGGGAAAAGGATGGAGCCTTCCTGCTGGGGAAAGAAGGCTAAGGATGGAGGAAAGGGAACAGATGGGAGATCAGAGAGGGCACAAGGATAGGGCACAGGATGCAAACAGGGTGGCCAGGAGGAGGGAGCAAAAGCAGGAGGGCGATACAGGCACCCTGCAACTCTAGCTGACCCACCCCTGAGGAAAGGCCACCCCACCAGCCCAGTTTAGGTGTGGAAGGATGGGAGCCTCCAACAAGCAGATACCCAACCTAGATGTCCCAGCCACCAGAAAGAGGTAGGAGGCTGCCAGGAGCTCACAGTCCCCGCCCTGGCCACTCTTGTGGCTTCCTCTGGAGCTCCCTTCTGCAGCCCTGGGGAGACGGGTGGGCTGCTCAGACAAGCCTTTATTGCCCAACCTGAAACCACTGGGCGCCTCGCCCTCATTCCTGCTGTCCACAATTCCAGTGACCAAAAGGACAAATGAGTTGGAGCACAATGGAATAAATTACTGCCAGGTTTGCAGTAATTCACTAAGAAACAACACAGGAAATGCAAGAGGCAGGCAGGAGCTGGAAACTTGAGAAGTGAAGGGACTTGCCCAAGCTCACACTGCCAGAGATCCTGGGGTACAGCAGCATAATTTAAACACAGGTCCCTCTGGCTTCAAATCACAGTTTCTGGCTTTCAAATCACAGACAATCTTCAAACCCATATTATGTTACCTGGCCCTCATAGACAGAGCCTTACTTTACAATCTGCAGCATCCTTAAGGCCACGGAGTCAGGGATGGAAGTAAGTCTCTCTAGGTTTCTCTCCCAAACCCCTATCCTGACAATCTCCAGTGCCAGGAGTTGGGACCCACTCAGATGTGTGCTTGAAATCAAGGTGACGGTGGTGGGGGTGGGAGAATGTAGAATACCCGCAGGTTTGATCTGGGTGGGGGAGGGGCAAATCGCCGCAGGGCATGGGCGAGGAGTTGGGAAAGGACCGGGAGGCTCGTCGCTCAGGCCACCCTCTTGGGTATCAGGAAGTCAAAGCTAAATCTGCGGGTGATGACCCCAGAGCTGCAGGGCAAGGCCCAAGCTCAGAGCCAGCCAGCCCGGTGACCCGGGGAGCTCCGTCCCCGAGACGCCCAAGCAGGCGGTGGGGTCATATATGTCCGAGGAAGGCGGTCAGGAGGAATCTTCCAAGGGGCCAAGTCGGCCCTTGCGCGGGGCTCAGCCGGATCCCACGAGCATCTCCCAGTTACTCCGCACCCAGCAGCAGGGCCACGAGCGCGGAAGGCCTCGGGAGAGGGACGACGGCCTGCGATCCGTGCTCGGGGTGGGCAATGGGACACGAAACCATAGGCACACGCAGGCACGCCCGACACACGGTGCACAAAAGACACTCCGACGCGCACTGGACACAGACCCAAGCTCTGCATACACATTCAGACCCGCGATCACACCGCCACTCCAAAAAAGACACCAGACTCCGAAAGCCACCCAAAGAACGCGGCCACACAGCAGAAAGAGCTCAGAGACACACGTTCACACTCACTCACACACGTACACACACTCAGGCCCGGCCGGCCCCAAGGCAGCACAAAGTTGCGGAGCTGACCGAGGGAGCGTCCCGGGAGACCGCGGCGGACCCCTGTGCACCCCAGGAGGGGGCGCCGTCCCGCCGCCGCCGGCCAGGCCCTGCCCGCGCCCCGACGCCGCAGCCCCGCCCCGCCACCGCCGCCTGCGCCCCCCGCAGCCGGCCCCTCCCGGCCCGGCGCCCCGCGGCCCCGGCGCCGCCTCGGATCAGCAGCCAGCCAGCGCCGCGCCGAACTTGCGAAACAACAAACAGCCCGACATGTCGGAGTTGGCGGCCGCGGGCCCCAGCCCTCCTCCTCCCGCCCGCCCTCCCGGGCCTCCCGCCCACCGACCCGGGCTGCCGAGGGCCGCCGCCGCGACAACTTGTTCCGGCCCGTCGCGCCACGCGCGCACGCACACACCACCCCTGCCCCCTCGAGCCCTGGGCACACTCGACCGCGGCCCAGCCGCACACCACACTCGCAGCATTCCTGGACACGCTGCCAGCGCGCACCGACACACACACTCGCACACTCACATCCGCTCCAGACACGCTCCCACACACGCATTCCCCGCACACTTGGCATTCACTCGGACCCACACAGCCCCCGGCGGGGCGCACCACACACCCAGACACTCCCACACGTACACACCGCGCACACGGCGCACCGGCACACACGTTCCGGACCGGTTCCCACGCCTCCACACGTACACGGATCTCGCAAGCACACACATCACACATGCGTTCCCGGGTCTACACTCGGGCGGGATCCATTGCACTCGCAACACACGCAAAAAACATACACAACCCATTCTCAGACACACAACAAACAGCACTCCCGGCCAGAGCAGACCAAATGCAAACAAATGCAACACACTAGCAGATACAACTCCGGCCACAAAATTAAACTCAGATGCACACACAGACACACAACCTACTTGGCCGCACGAACGCTACACCCTGGCAGGCACAGAAAACAGCGCACAATCGACACCTCGATGTATACAACATCCACCCCAACATCCTCGCAGACAAACAACACACACAGCACCTCTTCTTGCAGAGAACTACGGACACACAACATTCGTAGTCACACAACACCCCCGAACACACGACCTTACATCTTACACTCAGGCACACACAGGGAGCACGCACGTAACGCGCGGGCACCCAACACTCACACTTTCTTCCGAGCTGCGCCACGGGCCCCGGGGRCTCACGGAGCAAGCTGGGTCCGACCGCCGCGCGCTTACCTGCCGGAGTCTCGGTTTCGGGCGCGCAGAGCTGGAAGGTAAGCGCCAGGAAGAGAGCTTGGGCGCGGGCCATGGCTGCTACGCCGCCGCCTGCCCCGGGGCCCGGCGCGGGGGGCGCCGCCTCCTGAGCCCGAGCCGAGCCCGAGGCGAGCCGGAGCCGGAGCGGAGCAGCGCGGCGCAGAGCGGGACTGGCGCGGAGTCCAGAGCGGGAGCCGGAGCGAACGGGGCGCTGACGTCAGGCCCGGCCCAGCGTTCCGCGGTCTCGGCGCGCCCCCTGCTGGCGGAGGCGCGCGCTGCTGCCCAGCTAGCCCCGGCACACCCCTCCCCCACTCGGGCACCGCTGCTGGAGGTCGGGTGGCCTGGACTGGACGCCCACTTGTTCTGCACTTACCCGGCACCAACGTTCTCAAGAGAGCACCCTCATTGCTCCCGCAGAGTTCTCAGGGACTGAATCAGGGACACCTGCTTCTCTGTCCTATCCGAAGCTTGAATTCTCTCTACCTTGGCCCCTCCAAATGCACATTCATACTTAGAGGGTGCTCATCACCTGCCAAGAGCCATCTTTGGGCCTTTGGAAACGCTGGCTTTTAGAACACTCTTCCTTTCCATGACATGAAGTCCACCTCCCTTGCGAACCCTCACTGGTCCTGCTCTACCCTCTGGCTACACAGGTTAAGTATTAGGCCTCTTCCAATAAAGCTCTCCCCCAATAATCAGCAAACTAATTGCCCATTACTATGTAAAACCAAGCACCTGTATGTGCTTTCCCCCATCATTTAACCTTCACCCTAACCCTATTAGGCTTATACCACTGTATTCCCATTACACGGTGGAGCAAATTGCACAGAGACAGAGACCTTTTCCAAGGTTACAAATTAGTTTTAGGCACCATCAAGATTTGAATCAAGGTTGTCTGGCTTGAACTAAAAAGGAGCTGAGAACTGCCTACTATCTGGAAACCCCTTCACTTCACAAATACCTATGGAGTACTAAGTTATTTATTCAACGATTACTATAGAAAAATAAAACTGACAAAAAAAATATATCCCTGTCTTCATGGGGTTTCCCTTTCAGTGGGAAGACAATAACAAAAAAAAGGGGGGGGAAAGCAAATTTTCTGACATACATCCCTTATCACTATCTCACAGAACAGAAAAATTGGAAGAATGAACACTAAGGGGAAGAGAATTTTTGTAGTTCTAAATAGAGTACCTATGATTTCATGGTTTCATTATTTTTCTTCACCTCTAAAACCTGAGCTCCCAAAGTCCTTAGGGAAAGATTTTGTTCTGTATCCCAATGCCTAGTATCTGGCATATAGTTGGTGCTCTATAAATCCTGAATGGAAGAATAAATGCTAAATGACATGGTACTTGTCTTCGTGAAGCTTACATTCTAGTGGGGGAGACCAACAGCAATCATAAATAAATATATAATCACAAACTGTGATATGCACACTAAAAGAAATGGGTAGAGTGCTGTGGTAAAAAACACAGAGTAGGGAGGGTCTACTGTAGACAAGGTGGTCCAGAAGGGCTTCATGGAGAAAGTGACATTATGCCAAGTGATACTGGAGCTGAGATCTAATGTATAAGAAGAGCCAGCCTCATGCAAATCAGTAGAGAGGAATACTGCAGCCAGAGGACATGCAAAGACAGGCAGCTGGTGGGTTTGAGGAGTGACAAGGAGACCAGGGCAGCTGGAATTGAGTAAGTGGGGAGGAGAGGGAAGTCAGGTTCAGCTGGAGAGGTCCACATGTCCCCCAGGTCATACAAGAAACAATGGGAACTGAGCATGGTGGTGCAGCCTTGTAACCCCAGCAACTCAGGAGGCTAAGGCAGGAGGATTGGAAGATTGAGGCATTCTCAGCAACTTAGCAAGGTCCTAAACAATGTATTAAGACCTGTCTCAAAATAAATAATTAAAAAGGGATGTAAAGAACCCCTGGCTTCAACTCTCTTAGCAACCACAAAGAGAATGAGAGTCAGTCACAGGGGAACAGAAGCAGAGCAAAGAAAGAAGGATTGGAGGAGATGGGGTTGTGGCTCAGTGGCAGAGAGCTCATCTAGCACGTGCAAGACACTGGGTTCCATCCTTCAGCACCACATAAAATTAAATAAATGTCTAACTACAACTAAAAATTAGATATAAGAAAAAAGAAAGAAAGAAGGATTGGAATAAGAAACAGGGATAGATGCTGGAGAGAAGAGACAGACACACAGAAAAAGAGGGAAAACTGATGAACAGAAGAAAGAGCCAAGGATGGTGTTTGCAAAGAATTCTGAAAGGAACCAATTACAGGAGCTTATTGGTGATCTCATTTTATAAGTATGGAAACTGAGGCTTCAGAGAGCATGAGGCACTGGCCAAGGTCACATAGCTAATAAATGGTGAGCCCAGGACTTCAATCCAGATCTGACTGATTCCACATCCCTTTGCTCCTTGTGCCAGGAAAGGCAGCAAAGACTATGATGGGAGAAGAAAAGGCAGTACGAGCAACAGGTGGCCAGATGAAAAGAGAAATTCTGCTCTACTTTTAAAAGACCACAGATTTCTATAATCCTTAAGAGAAGAACAAGAAAGGAAGAAAGAATGCCCGAGCCCTCAGTAACTGGCCCAAATCTAGGGAAAGGGAGACGGCACTACCGTCTGTGCCAGGCCATGAGGAAATTCAATTACTTGCAACTCATGGAATATTTATGATGCCTACCCTGTGCCAGGCCCCATATTGAGCACTGGTGTCATGGAGATGAACCAAACATGGCCCTACATGTGCCTGGAGCGGGACGTGGGTACATCAATAACTGAGACAGTGCCCTAAAGGTCATAACACTGGTCCAGAGAAAACACAAAGGCAGCAGGGGTGGACTCAATAAAATGATATCTGAGCCTGGAGTTTCCCAGGTAGGTAAGGCAGGAAATTCAGGCAGAAGGAACAGCCTTCAAGAAGCATAAGACAAGAAAGTACTGGCACAGGTGAGTCTGAGGTACAGTTGGATCCTAGGCTGTGCACACTCCAACAGCAGAGAAAGCTGCAAAGACAGGGTGGGAGTCAAGGTGCAACGGGTCTTGAATGCAAGGTCTGAACAACTGGACTTGAGCCCTTCAATTAGTGGTTCTCAAACTGCGCCCCTGGGGGAACCCAGAGGGCCTAGACTAGAAGCAAGGGCTATAGGAAGGTGCAAAGAGAGGAAATTGAGCCACAAGGAAGAAGACTTATTGGATGATTCTCCAGGCTGTCTAGTTGGACTGCCCAGAGATTCAGGGGAGCCAATGTGGTGGAAAAGATAATGTCAACAGCTCAATGTCACCTAAAGAGTCTTACAACAGTCTTGGTAGGCCTGTGTGTCACCATAAAAATAGGTCAGTGGGACAAGATTTTGTGTGCACAGTGTGTGTGTGTGKGGGGGGGCCATTCATACAACTATAGGATCAAGTCTTTCCCCCTTGTTGGACATGAATTTTCCTTAAACAAGTGCAGACATCTATCTATTGAGCATACTATGAGCCAGACCCTACTCCATGTTTTACATATGATATTTTCATTTAATCTTTACAATAACTCCCTAATAATAGTTTTCAAATGCTTCCATGTGCCAAGCATTATGCTAAATGCTTCAAGTGAATACTATTTCATTTTATCTACAATGAAACAGATAACTATTAATCCCACGATTTTTAGGCGTTTGGGGTTTTTTTTTTTGTTTTGTTTTGTTTGTTTTTGCAGTGCTGGGGATTGAACCCAGGGCCTCTCATATGCTAGGCAAGTGTTCTACAACTGAGCCACATCCCTAGCTCTATTCCCTTGATTTTTAACTATAAGAAAATGAAGGCCAGAGAAACCAGGTGACTTGCCCAAAATCAAATAGCTCAAAATGACAGAGCCAGGACTTAAAGCCAGATTTGCCACAATCCAGTTTCCACATCACTGTACTCTGCTGTGCCAGCCTCAACAGAAAGGGTCTAGAATTTCAGGTCACCAAAATCCATATAAAGGACCTCTTCCTTCTCCTTTAAAGCCCCGACTGTCTCAAAGCCTATTCCTTAGTCCACCTGCATCATAATACTCTTGAGAGCTTGTAGGGGTGTATGCTCCCAGTCCTGTCCCCGAGATACTAATTAGGTGGGTCTGAATGGGACCTCTCATGATTTTATGCACAGAGGATTCTGAGTCACAGGGCAGCTTCAATAGCACCTCCTCCAAGGACTCTCAGTCTCCTCTCCCCAGCACATCTCTTCCTCAGACTAAAGCAGTGCACTCCGGCATGTGCTAATATTCAACTCGGGTTTTAGTTACGTTCATGTCTTCCCTCCACCAAAAATAAGAATCTAGCATCATTAAAGGGCTATACCTCTTTACAAAGAATTTCCAGTTTCCCACTTACTCTACACTATGAGCATTTTGAAAAGGCACACTCCTGGTGATTCCTCCCTTATCTCAGAACACACTTAACATTTTATGATATCTCCTGTGTCCACGATAACATTCTCCTATTGTTGCATCCAATGCTCACAACAATCTGACATGAAGCTTATTATCTCCATTTTAGCAAACTAGGAAGTGGCACTGCTAGGATTTGAACCTAAGTCTTCTAACTACTTCTACTACTGCTTCCTTGTCATCGCCATTCAATATAGTAAGTTTTACCTTTCTGTTCCTTTCCGGATTACACAAAAATAATACTTTAAAAAGCCTGGCTACACACAAGCCTGGCACAGTGTGCTCTCAATAAATCGTGGAAAAGGAAACTGAGGCCGAGGGAGAGAAAATGACTTTCCCAAATCCAACAACAAAGCGCAGGCTGAAGGCACAGCAGTAGGCCAGTCCCAGACTCTCCAAGTTGGAAAAGCAGCCCTGGAGGGCTCAGAAAAAAAACAGCAACTCCAGCACGTTCCTGCACTGCCCAACTCTGGTTCCCACGAGGTCTCACCAGGCGCCCCCGAGCGGCGGGAAGGAGGAGAAGGTCCTTTAAAGAGGCTTTGGGGGCGTGGTCGCTCGGTGGGGCGGGGCTAGGGGCGGGGCGCAGGCGCGCGGTCGCGGGAAGATGACGTGTTCGAGTGCGCCGAGTGCTGTGCGGGCTGGAAGGAGCATGTGGGTCCGCTGCGCGCTGTGGGGGGCGCGAGCCCGGTCGCAGC